CTGGCTCCCAGCTACTCCACTTTCAAGGCGGCTTACTCGGGGGAGGTGTTCGGCTTTGTAATTGTAAGGGTTTTACTATGGATTGGGTAGAGAGAGAGCGAGAGAGAGAGAGAGCGAGAGAGAGAGAGAGAATGAGAGAGAGAGAGAGAGAGAGAGAGAGAGAAGGAGAGGGAGAGAGGGAGAGAGTGAGTGAGCGAGCGAGAGAGAGAGAGAGGTGAGACAGAGAGAGTGAGAGCGTGATAGAGAGCGGTAGATTATGATTTTAGAACCTATGGAACGTTGCAAAGATTTCTGCTGCTCCGCCCTTTGCCGTTATTTCAATTGTATGAAAAATATGGATTTTTTTGAGATTTCTGTCTTTTTTTTCGGGCTAATTTTTTGGGTTTTTTGGGCTTCTGCCTCAAGATAATTACCGATATATATTCAGAATTAAAAAATACGATTTTAAATGCATTACGGAATGTAAATCCCGTCCCAAAAACCAGCGGATGGGTGTATCTGGACAGGCGGGGGTGCGCTTTGTTTGCAATGCTCTTTTTCTGGCCCCGTCACCCCAAATCAGCAGCCCTTCCAATCAAGAAACAGACATACGGCCCGAGACATCATTGCTTTCACTAACTGCGCTTTAAAGAGATCCGGAAGTGGGAGGCTGGTTCCCAAAGGATCTTTGCTAGCATGCCTCCTATTCTTGCTTATTGTGCTCATTCAGGCTCCCATTCCTCAGGGGTCTTCTCTGCCTAGCTTTTTTGCAACTAGCTTCTTTCCGTTTGTTGCCGCAAGAATCCGTGCTAGCCTGCCCTTCTCGGCTATGTCATATTGCCAAAGAATCTATGCTTGCTTGCCTGGCTCAAGAATCTAGGCAGTTTTGTCAAAAAAATCTCCGTTGTCGGAGTTCCACAAGAACCTCTGCTAGCCTTTCTTTCCGCAGGAAAGTCGGCTGGTTTGCCAAGTCATAAAATATCGCTGCTAGCCTGCCTTTCCCAAAGGATCTCTGCTAGATGCTGTTTTTCAAAGATGGCTGCTGGCTCGCCCCATCCCTTCAATTCCTCAAGAATCATGGCTAGCTTGCCCCAATTCCCCAAGAATCTCTGCTAGCATGCCCAATTCCTCAAAGAATCACTGCTAGCATGCCTTAAATTCCGCATAATTCCCTAAGAATATCTGCTATCCTGCCCATTTATCCGTTGTGCCCCTAATAGGCAAATCACTTCTCCCGCCAATCAAATAGCCCTCTCACCCACTTTCCCCCCAGGAATCCCGGCAATGTTATCTCTCTCTCTCTCTCTCTCTCTCTCTCTCTCTCTCTCTTTCCCCTCCATTAGTACCCCCTAATATGTCTCTTCATTCCCTTTACTATGTGGTGTACGCGCCATTCCTCGGAACAGTAGACCCTCCCCTCCCACCAACACACCCGATTTGAATGGCTCCCTACAGGTGGTCAAAAGAAGGGCGGAGGGGGCCATCGAAATGATTCACCCCCCTTCTTCTACAATTCGATATATCGGGCTCCTCCGCCGGCCGGCCGTCCGGTCCGGCCCTTTTTTTCTTACTGGAATCGCCGCACAGGAAAAGCCTATTACGATTCAACGCCTTTTTTTTCTGGTGATCGTCGATTCCGGGATTTGGCTATGGACGCTGATTTTTGTTTTAAGACATTTTTTTTTATTTAAAACATAGAAAAAATAGCTGTTTTTATTGAAAATCTGATTTTTTTGGAGTTGTGTACTGTAATTTGCAACCAGGTAAATTTTTGAAGCCGCAAAAATTGTTAATTTCTTTAGATTTGCGCGGCTTTATTTTTCTGACATTTTTTACATTATTCAAATTAGGTTTTAAGATACCTAAAAATACACATTCGAGTAATTTGTTTCAATTTCAAATAATTTCAAGTTTATCTAGTTTTATACATTATCCAAATTAGGTTTTAAAACTGTAAAAATGCCGATCTCCAGTAATTTACATTCTAAAAATTTTTGTAAGTTATATAAATGATGTATTTCCTATTTTCCGGCGATTTTCTAAATTGTCGATTTCGAAAAAATCTTGGTTTTCGGCATTTTTGGCATTAATTTGGAATTACTAAAAGTTTGTAGTTATATGCAAATCAGCCCGATTTCTATTACTATTTAAGATTACGACGATTTATTTATAGATTTCGGCATTCTGACCGTCGTTTCAGATTCTGATTCTAGAGCCAACGTCACCCCTCTCACAGCTCCCTTATCAGAATTCTGCCCTGTTTATTGCGCTTCACCAACACGATCCCTTCAGAATTTTCATGCACGTGTCGGGTACATTCGCGTAGTCTGCACAAAAATGGCAACAAAATTTTTACAAGTAATCTCTGCTAGCCTGTCCTCAAATTCCTTCGATTCCTCAAAGAATCTCTGCTAGCCCGCCCCTCAAGTCGAAAAACTCTTCAAAAATATCTGCTAACCTGCCCTTCCGATCCCTCCAATTCCTCAAAGAATCCCTGCTAGCCTTCGCCTAAAAATCCCTTCAATTCCTCTAAGAACCTCTGCTAGCCTGCCTTTTTGGGTTTTTGGCTTTCCTTTCTAGTTCTAATTGAAGCTGAAACCGCTTAATTAGCATAAAATTTTCTAGGCGTTCGCATCGTTGAATGGGGAAGTGCGACGACGACGACGGAGAGTAGCCCACTTCAGAATCCAGGTAGCCTTTTATTCCACTTCTCCCTCTCTCTCTCTCTCTCTCTCTCTCTCTCTCTCTCTCTCTCTCTCTTTCTCCCTCTCTCTATCTCTCTCTCTCTCGCTGGCCTTTGATCATCCATTCGAACAGTTGTTTATCTACTGTTTTTGTTGGCCGATGTTGCTCACCCACCCTCATCAATTTCCGGGGCCTTGCTTGGCCCTTTGGCCCTCTAAAACCTTGTAAACGCGAAAACGCACTTCCAAACTTATTAGAGGCCCTAACCATTCGAACACTGCGATTTTATGGAGTCACGTCCCGGGTCGCAGGGCCAGAAAAATGGAATTGTTACAGCTCTGGGACGGAAAGTAGAGGACCAGGCGAGAGAGAGAGAGAGAGAGAGAGAGAGAGCGAGAGAGATGGCCAGATGGGCGCACCCTCTCAATATCCACATCATATTCCCCCCAGCCCATCCCATTCCGCACCAATCCAAACCACGGCCCCCCGGGGGCGCACCAGTACCAAACTGTTTATAATTTAATCTGGACAGGAAGTGGGGCTCGATTTGCATCTCTTTCTCCCGCTCTTTCTCTCTATCTATCTATCTCTCTCCCTCTCTCCCACTCTGTCTGTCTTTTTCGCTGTCTCACTCTTTCTCTCGCTCCCCCTGTCCATCTCTTTCTCTATCTCGCTGTGATACTCGATTTATACATGGCTTTCTCGAGTTTTCTACGCTGCAGCTTTATTTCTGACCCATACATCTCGCTATCGCTCTCACTTTCTGTCGCTCTCTCGTTCTCTCTCTCTCGCTCTCGCTCTCTCTCGCTTTCGCACTCTGTCTCTCTGTCTCTCTCTCGCTCTAACTCCCGCATTTTCTCCTGAATTTCTGCTTATCTGCCCCTACTATCTGAATTTCCGCAAGGAATCTCTGCTAACCTGCCCCTGGTCAAGTTCTAACGTTGCATTTTGCATCTCTCTCACTCGCTCTCTCTTTCTTTCTTTCTCTCGCTATCGAACTGTTTTTCTCTACCTCGCTCGCTCTCTCACACTCACATACTCTCTCGCTTTCTCTCTCTCTCACTCTCTAACTTTCTCTCTCTCTTTCTCTCTCTCTCGCTCTTCCTCTCTGCCCCTATCCATTTTTCCCATCATAAAAACTGCCCCCTTTTACAAGAAGTGTGGCCCCCTTTCCCTTCCATTCCTATGTCTGGCCAATCCGAAATAATTTACGAACAGTGTTCCCCTTCTCTCTTTCTTTCCCCCTTCCTCCAAATGGACAGCTGTTCGTCTGTTCGATCTGTCTGTCTGTCTCTCTTTTCACCCCTTTCCAAATCGATCTACACCCCCTGAGGGCATAGGACATCGATGCCTCGGAATGGGGACGACAAAACAATAACATTCATCGCTTTCAGAATTGGTTATCGGATGTTTTTCTCTGGCGGTCTGGCTGTCTGGCTGTCCTTCTCTCTCTCTCTCTCTCTCTCTCTCTCTCTCTCTCTCTAGCTTTCTCGCCTTTAAAAAACTAAATTACTCATCGTTGCCCGACAGCTGCGGTCATTTCACAATACCTGGATTGTTCGGCTTTTTTTTCTGGATTTTCCGGAGCATGTGTCGTGAAGCAGAAGCTTAAGCCTAAGCCTAAGCCTAAGCCTTAGCCTGAGCCTGATCTCTTTAAAGGGACTGGCAAGGTTCGACGATGTGTTTTTGTCGTAATTTTTTCTTGGGCTTGCGTAATCGAATATGACTCTTTCTCTCTTTTTCTCTCTCACTCTCTCTCTTTTTCTCTCTCTCACTCTCTCTCTTTCGTTCTCGACCATAGAAAATATAGCTTGAAAAGACCTCGAATAAATCCATGGCCGCAAAATCCATCGTCTTGCCTTTTCTTTCCCTTTAAAGGTACGAAACTCATTGAAATTTAGCCCAGGCTATTTTTGGAACTTTGCCAAATTCCACTTTTTTCCGCACGTTGGCAATTTGCCTTCCAGGCCCCTTGAAAATCTCCAAAAATCTTTTTAGAGTTGGGTCCCCATTTCAAAACGATCCGCCCCGATCAGCCGACCCATAATGTTATTCTCAATAAATCGCCCTCTCACGGCAGGGAGGGGAGAAGCACTTTAGCGAAGCTCGTGCTCTCTCTCTCTCTCTCTTCCCAATCAACCACCGACGGCCTCAGGCTGACAATGAGCCTTTTTGATTGTAACCAGTTAGCCCGGAGAGCCCAAATCCCATTCGGCTTCTGAGAGATTGTAAGCTGTAGCTGGGTGTAGCTTTTTTGTTATGTCTCTGCACGCTTCCCAATCCCGTTAAAACCTCGCATTAATGTTTGATCCTTTTCAGAAACCACCCAACCCGGGATGGACGTTGTTGAGACGCGTCCAATTGATGGGGAACCATACCCAGAAACAAGCAGTCATGATGAGAAGGAGAATCAGGTGAGACTCAGCCTAAGTGTAAGCTAAGCGTAAGCCAAAGCCAAAACTAAGCACAAGCCAAGATTAACCTTGGATTAAGCCTAAGGCTAAACCTAGCAAAGCATAAGCTAAGCTTAAGCCTAAGCCTAAGCATATGCCGAAGCCAACCCGAAGCTATGCCTAAGCTAAGCCTAGGCCTCAGCCTAAGCCTAAGTCTAAGCCTAAGCTAAGCCAAATCCGGAGCCCAAGCCTAAGTTAAGCCTAAGCCTAACGTAAACACATCTAGAATTTGTACGCCGATGCCGATGAGAAGACGTGCGAGTCTTCGGAGGACTATGTAACATCACCACAGGGGGATGACACGGATTCGCTTGGTGCGGAAAAGTCACTCTCAGAAGACCCGGACAGGGATACGGTAGGAAAAGGGCAAGGATCAGAATACAGAAATTTCAGGATGATACACCGTCGCCATCTGGACAAATCGAGACACCGGAACTTAATAGAGGTAGGAAAGGGCAGGCTAGCAGAGATTCTTTGTGGCATTGGAGGGATTTGAGGGGCAGGCTAGCAGAGATTCTTGGAAGAATTGCCTTTAGCTAAATCTCCTCTTTCCAGATGAACCTCCCGAGCTCGACTATAGCCGCCGTATCAGCGACTTTGCCAGCTTCACCACCCCCGAATCGAGCCCCGGCATCGAGATTGGCACCGACGTCCTGGAGCACGACTACTCTACGCCCCAGATGACAGGTGGGGAAGTTTTTGCGTAGCTCTCTCACTCTCTCTCGCGCGCTCTCTCTCTCTCTCTCTCCTCACTACAATTCCACTCACAACGTGTCACTTTTTAGGCGACCAGGACGAGCACGAGGAGGAGGATGAAGAGGAGGATAGGTCGTTGGTTGAGGAAGTTTTTGCGGCACTCGACGCTCGGGCCCACCTGCCGCCGATTGGGGAGGAGGTGAGAGGAGAGAGAGAAAGGGAGAGAGAGGAGAGAGAAAGGGAGAGAGAGCGAGCGAGAGAGAGAAAACGAGAGAGAGCGAGAGAGAGCCATGGAGACAGTGATATAGAGAGAGCGAGAGAGTGCGAGCAAGAGAGACGAGAGAGAGAGAGAAAGATAGAGAGAGAGAGAGAGAGAGAGAGCGAGAGAGAGAGGCGCTACAGCGTCAGATATCATCACTAGGTCAAGAGATCCTAATATGCAAATTTCAGACGGATTCGCCAGCGGCCCTAGTCTCCCATCGTTCAGCCCCAGCCCTGCAGACGATCGAGCAGTTTCCGGATGAACCGGACGAGATGGCGCCCGGATTCACGCGATACAGTAGTCGGTGAGTCGCATTTTAGATTTGTTTAGCTTTTTGGCCTTTGAAGCCTCGCGAACTCAAATATTCGCATTTTTAGGGAGCCTTCGATCGACTCGAGCAGCGAGTCGCACCGCTCTCCACTATTCACCCCGAATCCGACGGCCATCTACCATCGGTGGGTGGGAGGGACGGAGACAGAGACAGAGAGAGAGAGAGAGAGAGCGAGAGAGAGAGAGAGAGTGAAAGCTAGAGAGAGCGAGCGAGCGAGAGAAAGATACGCAGCTTTCTAAAATCCTCTATTTCCAGAAGAGCCGTCTCCGATCAAGTCGGAGGAGGCCCAGACCTCCAACGGGCCCAGGAGCTTGATGAGCACGAGGTCCGCTACAGGCCAAAATCCACCAAATCGTCATTGGCGCGCCGTGTTGACAGCCAGGTAACCGTTCCTTACCAGCCCCTTTCACCCGATTCCAGCGCAACAGCCACAACCCCCTACTCCACCATCAACTCGACGGTGTTCAGAGCGGATTGGAGCGGACGCAGAGCAACTCGGACCCGGCGATTAATGAGAAAGGGGATCGGAAAGGTGGGTCGGAGCTGGAGAGAGCGAGCGAGAGAGCGAGAGAGAGGGAGAGAGAGCGAGAGAGGGGCGAGAGAGAGGGAGAGCAAACCCTGGGAAATGGAAATATACGGTTTTTAGACAGCAACAACCCGCCGCCGGTGCTGCTCACCCGAAAAGCCAGCGCGCATTCGTGGAAGAGTTATATGGGCCCTGGGGTACCGGCTTCGCATACAGTAAGTAGGCGACTTATAAGCTCAGGCTTCCGCTGACTTATAACTTCATCTTCACCGTCTCTCTCTCTCTCGTTCTCCTTCTCTCTCGCTCTCTCCGCTCTCTCTCCCTCTCTCTGTCTCCCTCTGTCTGTCTCTTACTCTCTCACTCTCTCTGACTCTCGCTCACTCTTTCTCTCTCTCTCTCTCTCTCTCTCTCTCTCTCTCTCGCTCACTCGCTCCAACCCTTCAACCATTTATAGTCAAAATCACGACGCTGAAATTTGAAGAATTACAGTAAGAAAAATGTTGTCAAGTGGTTGAGACCGTCTTTAGGAATTTATAGGCTAAAACCTTCCATAAACCCACATTTTTAGATGATCAGCCCGGCGATGGCGGAGATGAACGTGCGGCTCCGGGCGGAGGTGGGAATTCTCAAGCTCACTTTTGCAAAAACCTCGTGCTACCCAAGTGTTCATAAGGAGGTCGAGAGGAGGCGGGGTCAAGTGGAAAAGCGGGATTTTCAGGGTCAAAAACATGCAAAAATCAGTTTTTTTCTGGTGTCGCCACACCATTCTCACAAGCGCTTTTTTACTGTCATGGTCCCTTTAAAACGAATTTTTCAGCAACAAACTTCCCCTCCCTCATCCTCAACTCGTGGTGGCCTCTTCGGCGGCCGTTCCCTAGACGATCCCAATCGGTAAGTCCAAATTTTTCGGTTATTACGCTATAAGGTGTACCATCTACCGTATCCTCCAACTTCCTGTCGTTCCGTTCTCATCCTCTGTTTATTGCCCTTTTGTTTCGTTTATCCGTTGTTGTCGCGGGAATTTCGCATGTTGTGGGATTTGGTTCGAGGCATTCGGGATGGTGTCATTAGTATTAGCATGTAGTGAATTTGTATATATGCATTTTTGTATTTAAAAAGTTTATAAATATTTCCCATACATTGTTATTATGGTACTGTAGTTTATCTGGTTTTCTGGATGTGATTTTGAATTTTGCGATTTTCGACATGGTGCTACCCTTTCTCTTTCTATCTCTCTCTCTCTCTCTCTCTCTCTCTCTCTCTCTCTCTCGATCTATCTATCTTCCTCTTCCTCGTTCTCTTTCTCTCTCTCTCTCCTTCTCCCTCTCCCTCTCTTACTCACTCTCTCTATCGCTGTCTCTCGCTCTCTCTCTCTCAATCTCGCTCAACCTATCTATATCCCTCTCTCTCGTTCTCTTTCTCTCTCTCGCTCCCTCTTCCTCTCTCACTCACTCTCCCTCTCTCTCACTCTCTCGCCCTCTCTCTCTCCCCCTCCTTCTCCCTGCACCATGTCGAAAATCACCCCCCCCCCAAACTCGCCGAAATTGTCGGCATTTCCAGCGATACCCTCAGCGAGGACGATGACTTCGACGAGGACGACCTACCCGAGGATGAGCAAGAAGTACGACTCCGGCCCCGTACCGGCGGCTTCGGCTCCCCACCCTCTATCTCAACCGACAACACTTCCGGCTCCTCCATCGCCGACTCCCGACGCTCAATCCCAATCGCCAGAAGCTCGTCCTCCTCTGTGGTGTCTGTGATGCGACGTTCCCTCCGGCTGTTCCGGAGTGAGAAGCGGAAGACGGTGGTTGAGGAGGGAATGGATGTGGTGTTGGATGTTGTGGCAGAGCCGATCTCCCCCCGCCCATTCCATCGTACCCACTCCGCCACCCACCATCGACGATTCGAGGACTGGCGCCTCAAGCCGAGGTGTGTGCCATTTCGGACTCGAGTTTGTAGCTTGTAGCCTGTACGCCACTGTACTCCGCACGTAGCTGGGGGTCTTCCTGGGTTTTAGCGATTAGAGTAGGGGTCAGGTTTTTGCTGGGGTTATACGGCGTTTTGAGTCTGGGATTCGGCTTCCGTAGACTTGGGCTTAGATTTAGGCTTAGGTTTAGGCTTAGGATTGGGCTTAGGCTTAGGTTAGATTTAGGCGTAAGCTTAGACTTAACATCAGGCTGAGGCTTAGGCTTGGACTTTGCACTAGGTAGGCTTAGGCTTCTACTTAGGCTTAGGCTTGGGCTTAGGCTTAGGCTTGGGCTTAGGCTTAAGCTTACTCTTTGGCTTAGGCTTAGGTTCGGCTTAGGTTTATGCCTAGGCTTGGAGATAGGACAGGCTGAGGTCTTGGCTTAGCTTAGGCTTAGGCTTAGGCTGGGCTTAGGCTTAGGGCTGGCTTAGACTAAGGTTAAGCTTAGGTTAAGGTTCGGCTGAGGCTGGGGCTTGGGTTTAAGGTTAGCTAACACCCAAGTTTCTTCTAGAGTCAGCTCTTTCTTTAAGCATTTTTTTATAAAAATACGCCGTTTTCAAGCTAGCTAATTCCAAAAATTTTTTTTGCATTTTGTATCAAGAAAAATCGACCATATTTCTTCTCTTTCCAACAAAATCCACGCTAGCATGCCTCAAAAAGCACGTGCCACATGCTATCGGGGGACCCATCTACCGTATCCCTCATCAACACGCATTAATGGCCGAGAATTCAGACATTCCGTTGTGGGCGATGAGTCCTCGTCGGCCGGCTGGCTATGGTCCGTTTCCTTCCGGCTTGTTCTTTTGCCCAATCTCCGTTTTCCCAGCCTCTATACTAGTTTTTGGTGTCTTTTTCTCTAATCCAAGCGCATTTTCGCCTATCTCTCATCATCACAGAGTCCGGTCGACTGGACAAATGCTATGCTAAGGCTTTTGACCGATTTTCCGGGTCTTGCAGCCCTCGCCCCCGCATTCTAATAAATTGGTTTTTCGTTGCTTTCTAGCAAGCTAGCAGAGGTTCTTTGTGGAATTGGAGGGGCAGGCTAGCAGAGATTCTTTGAGGAATTTGGAGGGGCAGGCTAGCAGAGATTCTTTGAGGAATTTGGAGGGGCAGGCTAGCAGAGATTCTTTGAGGAATTTGGAGGGGCAGGCTAGCAGAGATTCTTTGAGGAATTTGGAGGGGCAGGCTAGCAGAGTATCTTTGGGGAATTGGAGGGGCAGGCTAGCAGAGATTCTTTGAAGAATTGGAGGGCAGGTTAGCAGAGATTCTTTGAGGAATTCAAGGGATTTTTAGGGGCAGGCTAGCAGCTATTCTTTGTGAAATCGGCGGTTGGAGGGGCAGGCTAGAGGAATTGACAGGTTTGAAAGGGCAGACCAGCAGAGAGTCTTTGAGGAATTTTGGGATTTGGAAGCGCAGGCTAGCAGAGAACAATCGATAAAACATGTCCTAAAAGGTTTCTGCTAGCTTGCCACTTTTTCCAACCTCTCCTTATAATGCGCGAATATTAATCATACGTTACTTACTTTGCTCCTGTAAACCTGCTCTTTTTGCTAATCGTTAAAATGTGTGAACCGTCGTGCCTACCGTAACCTGCCATAACCTACCGTAACCACTGTAATAATTCTTGTTGTATGCTAATTCGATGTTTTTTTTGTGTGTGTGGCCAGCCTGCTCCTGATGCTTCTTTTGTTTACTACCTCCCACGATTTGCGATAATTGGCTATAACTTGCTCTACTTACCGTAACCCCCGATTTTTCAGGCCCGGCGATCAAAGTCGCGTGACGAAGAAGCGGGAGAAGGAGGCGCAGAAGGGGACCACAAATCTGTTTCACAACTTCTTTGGATCGACGGCGAAGAAGCAGAGGGTAAGAGAGGGGAGAGAGAGAGAGAGCGAGCGAGGGAGCGAGAGAGAAAGAGGGAGAGAGAGAGAGAGAAAGAGGGAGAGAGAGAAAGAGAGAGAGAGAGAGAGAGAGCAAGCGATGGGGCCAGAGAGAAAGAGGGAGAGAGACAGAGAGAGAGAAGCTTCGGCTTAGGTTCAGGCTTAGGCTTAAGCTTAAGTTCAAGCTTAGGTCTAGGCTTAGAATTATTTTATTCATACTTTTTCAATAAGTTTTTTAGAAAGGCGAACGCCCCCGCCTCGACAACGTCGAATTTATGGCCCGCGGCGGGAGCATGCCGGCCCAAATTCCGGTGGGTTTAATTCCATTTGTGATACCTTTACTAGACCAATTTTTGGGTAGTATCGACGCTGTATTATACAGGGTGTCCCAAAAAAAAAAAGACACCGGCCGCATTTCTCTATTTCGGGTCCGATCGATTTGAAGTTTTGCACAGAGGTAGCGAAGCCAATTTCCCATGAACACAGAAAGTTTCAACCCGATTTCAACCCGACTCGGCGGATTTTCCGGCTATAGCGAAAATACTTTTTATTTTTTATTTAATATGGGGACTTCTGCAATTTGCATCGAAAATCTGCGTAATTTTGTCATTTACGAGTTGATTTTGCATAATTTTTGCCGAAAAATCCCATTTGCTGTTTTGCGCTTCGCAAAAACGATTGCGCATGAGAAACAAAATAAGGTGAAAACAACCATTTTTTGAGCACTTAAACACATTTTATTGAAGTTTTGGTCAGTTTGATCTGCCTCGTCCTCGACACGGCGCTCAATGGGCGCCAAATTAATGCTTAAATTAAAATGGAGGCTTTAAGCCTATGAATAAGCCGAAATATAAGTTAAATAAAATGGCGAATGTATGTTACAATCCTGGTTTCTTGTATCTGACGGTTTTGTGGACCATATTTACTTCCCATACGCAATCGTTTTCACGACGCGCAAAACAGCAATTGGTATTTTTTGGCAAAAATTATGCAAAACCAACTCGTAAATGACAAAATTACGCAGATTTTCGATGCAAATTGCAGAAGTCCCCATATTAAATAAAAAATAAAAAGTATTTTCGCTATAGCCAGGAAATCCGCCGACCGATCAGGTTGAAACTTTCTGTGTTCATGGGAAATTGGCTTCGCTACCTATGTGCAAAATTTCAAATCGATCGGACCCGAAATAGAGAAATGCGGCCGGTGTCTTTTTTTTTCAAATTCTGAAAATTCAATAGCTCATCTATTCGTCTCTTTTTTGCAGCGTCGCCAGACCGTGAACGATGGCGCGATGACGGCTAATGGGACGCCGGTGGATGGTCGGTTTTTCGGGGCATTTTCAACGGGCTAATTTGCATAATTTATGATACGGGTGGGGAAATGGTTGAATTTTGATCACTGGTCACACTCAAACCGTTTTTTACGATTATTTATCGTTATTTTTCGATTTTCGAGAAGTTGTGTTGATGTTTTTCGTGTTTTCGATTATTTTCGTGTTCAAATGTTCTCTGCTAGCCTGCCCTGCTCTTTTAAAGGTACCAGCAAGTCCAAAAACCTACGCCAAAGTTCACAGCAAATTTTTGGTCCGCCCAGACGGGGCGGGACAGCGATTTCATTAAGTTTTTCGGAGGCGCTGCTTTGATGAGGTACCTTAATTTAAGAGCCTCTCTGTTTAGCTGTCTCTCTCTCTCTGGCTCTCTCTCTCGCCTGTCTGTATTTGACCCATCGGTTGCCCCATTGTCATTTCCGTTGGGAAGGTCCTTCCCCCACAGCGGTCCAATCACACGTACCCGGTCCTCCTATTCTTCGGCTTTTCCGTCGGTTTCTTCTCAGGTCTCGGGACTGGTTGGGGGTTGTTCTCTTACAACTTTGTGACCACAACAATCACGAGGTGACGATGCTTAGGCGTAGGCTTGGGCTTGGGTCGAGGCAGAGGCTTAGGCTTGGGGTGGGCTTAAGCTTGCGCATGCTCCACCGACACCCTAATTTGAAAGGGTTCCGTTTATCTTCTCTCTCTCTCTCTCTCTCTCTCTCTCTCTCTCTCTCTCTTTCTCTCTCTCTCATCCCCAGCTATTGTCAACACCTGATAAGCCTTTTCCATACTTTGTGTCCAACTTTCCAGTTTCCTTTTCCATTTTTGACATCCAAATCCCCACAGGATTCTCAAATTTACAACTCACGTATTTTGCCGGGGTGCCGAGCCCATTTTTGAGGGGCTGATGAGTGTTTTCTTTGCCCTTGGCTAGACAAAACCAATACTTCCGTGTTCAATTCTCATTAAGAAGTATTTTGGAGGTCCTCAAGGATCGCTGCTGGTTTTTAGCTTCTCTCTCTGGCTCTTTTCACTCTGTCTCTCTTGCTCTATCTCTCTCTGTCCCTCTCTATTCTTCTCTCTAGCTCTGGCTTACTCTCACTCTCACTCTATCTCCCGCTTTCTCACTCTCATGCTCACGCTCATTCTCACACGGCCTTTGTCTCTCTCTTTCTTTCTTTTTCTCTGTCTCGATCTCTCTCTCGCTCTCCTCGCTCTAGCTCTGGCTTTAGGTATCTTTCCTTAGCGTTTAATAGAATCTCGAATTTAATAGAAACGGAGGAACCTCGGCTTCCCAACACTTCCCAAAGAATCCCTGCTAGCCTGCCCTCGGCTTCCCTGCTTCAATGTTTGCCTTCACTGCTTCTTAAAACCCAGAAGTGACCTTCCACCCTCCCCAAAATGCAAATTCATCACCACCCGCCGGATGACCTATGTATTTTGGCGAGGGGAAAGAATCAACAAGTCTACATCCCCTCCACGTGACCCACAAATCTCACGCAAATTCCCGCTCGCACTTTCCGAACCGAAATCCGCCCTTCCCTCCCCCTTTCCAAGCCCCCCAAATATTCTTTTCAGAATTCCCCCGAGGGCCCCCGTTGACCCCCCGTAGAACAAATATTTTCACGCCTGAAATAGAAATTGAAACGCGCGAAATTTGTTGCCAATATTGGGCATATGTTTTGGAGGATTTTGGGGTTGAGACGAGGCTTTACAAACTTTTTTCTAGTCTTCGAGACGTAGACTTGGCTTAGGCTTAGCTTGGGCTTGGCTTAAGCTTGGCTTAGGTTTGGCTTAGGTTTGGCTTAGACTTGGCTTAGGCTTGGCTTAGGCTTGGCTTAGGCTTGGCTTAGACTTAGCTTGGGCTTGGCTTAGGCTTGGCTTAAGCTTGGCTTGGTTTAGGCTAGGTATATGCTTGGTTTAGGCTTGGCTTAGGCCTGGCTTGGGCTTGACATAGCCTTGGCTTGGGCTTGGTTTAGGCTTGGGTCTAGGCTTAGGCATGCTAGACTTAGGCTTAGGTGTATTCTTGGGCTTAAGCTTAGCTTTGGCTTAGGCTTCGGCCTAGACTTAGGCTCAGGCCTAGGCTTAGACGTGGGCTTCAGCTTAGGTTTGGCTTAGGCTTAATATGTTTATATGCTATTTAAAATAGTAAAACTACAATGGCATCCTCTTTACAGTTCCACGCGACAACAGGCAATAAAAAGGCGAAAAACACATCAGCACGCACATTAAGTTCCCGGTGCAATTTGCGGAAAAGTAAACAAATGCCGTTGGTGACTGTTATTTGGTTTTTCGCCCATTTTTTTGTTTCTATCGCTAGGGTATTCCGAATTTTACCACATGTCCTTTTACCGTAGATTTTTTTGCGTTCAAATAATTCTTGAAAACTTGAAACTTTTCGAAAATTCCGGAAATTCCGGGCAAATTATTTTCTATGTCTTGAATTTATTTGATAGCTTCATGATGATGTAAATACTTAAATATTATGTTGTTTCCCCGAAATTCTAGACAAATTGATATTATTTGTTCTAAAGTTTATAATTTTTATCTCTCTCTTTCTCTCTATCGCTATCTATTTCTCTGTCTCTCTCTCTCTCGCTCTCTCTAGCTCTAGCTTATCTCTCGCTCTCTCTAGCTCTAGCTTATCTCTCGCACTTTCCCCTCGCTTTTTCGATATCTCTCTGTCTTTCTCTCTCACTCTCTCTCTCTCTCTCTCGCTCTCTCTCTATTTCTCTCTCTCTCCCTGTCTCCCTCCCCTCAAATCTATAAAAAATCCGCTTGAATCCTCTAGACAATCCAGCAAATCCCACAAAAACAGCGGTTCCATCCCTCAAAACAACTATCCCTCCACTGCTGCGTGATTTGTTGTGTTGCGGACTCAGGCATTTAGCGAATTGAAATTTATATGTACAGCCGACGGGCAAGGCTCCCGCCACGAATTCGATCAGGCCCCCTCGACCCCCAAATTTCAATATCAATTAGCGTATGGGGGGTCGGGGCGGGAAAACAGGGTGCGCCTGACTGGAGGAGGGCAGCAGAAGCATCTGTCAAAACACCCCTAATGCTCCCCCAGGCTCTTCCAAGAGCTTTTCAGGCCGTTAGCCAACCAGACAGGTGCCTTCCCGGTCCCTTTAACTGCCCAAGCGGGGGGCCCCATTTGCACTTTTTCGATCTCTAGTTGCTTTCTTGGCTCTTTCTCCTCTGCTCATCCTCCTTTCTCTCACCTCCTCCTCCTCCTCCTCATGCTCGGCTCCTCATGCAAAATATTTTCTTCTTCTTGACCCAGCTCAATTACCCACCGACTTTTCACTTTCTCCGCTTTCTGCGGCTCGGCTATTTCGTAAGAATTACACCTCTGGAATTTGTTGAAAACCGGAATTTTGCCTTTAAAAGAATTGTGAAGAAAAAAGATACTTCATGACCCCGGCTAGTGTACGCTAATCTAACGTCTCGTTTCGATGAATCCGGAAAATCTACAAGATCTCTTTAGTTTTGTTGGAAATCCCAGGCTATAACGCCCCTTTAAAGTTTTTATCCAACGCCATTTTTTGCCAGACCTTAAAAATGATGACAGGAAAATCGGGGCCGGAGTCGCTCTCCTTTTCGGTGCAAGAGTAATTTAATTAGCTGGCTGACTCCCTCGCTCTCTCTCTCTCGCTCTCTCTCTCTCTCTCGCTCTCTCTCGCTTTCGTTCTCTCGCTCTCTCTCGTCTTCGTGCTATGATTTGGATTCCACCACACTATGTTTTCTGCTTACTTTCGAATTTTTGTAGGTAGTCCTACTCCAACCCTTTGAAAAACGTCCTGTCACCAACCCTTGAAAGCCCCGAAGGGTGACTTCCCAGCTCCTTTAAAATTTAAGACAGCAGAGTTTTGCCTTCACAACCTCTTTAAAGCTAAATCTATCGAAGTTTTGGCTTTCGAATCCCTCTAAAAAAGCCTCAAAAACCTCACCCCCCTGTCATCCCCTCCCCAACCATCGATCGGTCAATTTGTCGCCCTCCAGCTTTGCCCCGCCGTCTTCGACAAGTTCATGGTTGTGGGTGCGAACAGTTGTGTGTCACTTCACTCAGTCACTCAGTCATGCCCCTAGGGCACAACAAAGCAACACCCCCCCCACCCCACATCCTAACAACCCTCCTTGAAAATGACGGTTAACTGATATGGCTGTTATTATGATCGGGTTTCGACGGCTTTAAGTGGCGCCTCTCAAATTTAGGGGGTACTTAAGGGGAAGGTCAAGAAGTTGACGGGTTCGCGAAAATAAGGTATTTTCGGTGTTTTTGAACGGTTCATTGGCTACTGTAGGCTTAGGCTTTGGCTTGGCCCAGGCTTAGGCTTGGCTTAGGATTGACTTAGGCTTAGGCTTAGGCTTAAACTTCGGCTTTGATTAGGCTTAACCTTGCCTGGGCTTAGGTTTTGACTTTGATTAGGCTTAGGCTGAGGCTTGGGATAAGCTTAGGATTAGATTTAGGTTTGAGCTTAGGCTTAGGCTTGGGCCTGGCTTAAGCTTGGATTATAGGCTTGGCTTAGGCTTGGCTCGGCTTAGGCGTAGGTTTGGGCTTATACGTAGGCTTAGCTTAGGTTTCAGCTTAGGCTTAGATTTGCCTTGGCTTGGGATTAGCTAGATTTAGACTTAGTTAGCCTTCGAGTAAACTTGGCTTATTAGCTAATCTTCGGCTTGGGCTTAGGATAGGCTTAAGCCTAGATTAGGCTTAAGCTTAGGCGTATGCTTAGGTTTCAGCTTGGGCTTGGGCTTCCGGTCTTCCGAAGCCCTTTAAAAGGCCCCAAAATCATTCCTTAGCAGTGACAATTTTATTTTGCACTATGTTTTCTGTGTGCCAATCCCCTTTTGGGTTCCAATTCCCCTCCCATCCTATTGCCAACCCCGGGATTAAAAGTGTGCATGTGGTAGTCGGCGGGGCTGACAGCGCGGGATTTCGATTAGCGTCCCCGACCCGCCAGCCGAGTGGTGCTCGTTTTCCGAACTGTTTCTCCCCCCTTTCCATCCAGCCGGGCTCCTTTTTGGGGCGAGAAAAATACGCTCCCTTCCTTCTTTCGGATTGCTGTTGCCCCGGTCGATCCATTTTTGGCCGGAAAATACTGCGCGCGGCTGATTATCGATAGAAAAATCACTGCTAGTTTTCCCAAATTTTTTCAATTCCTCAAAAATCGCTGCTGGCTGGCCCTAGTCGCGCTAAAGCCTCAAAGAATCCCTGCTAGCCTGCCCCAATCTTTAAATTTCCATAAAGAATCTCTGCTAGCCTGCCCAATCTCTCAAATTCCTCAAAGAATCCATGCTAGCCTGCCTCAAATCCATAAACTCCACAAAGAATCTCTGCTAGCCTGCCAAATCTCTCAAATTCCACAAAGAATCCCTGCTAGCCTACCCCCAATCCTGCCAATTCTCCAACTGCTGCTAGCCTGCCTTGAAAATTTCTTTAAGCTTTAAAGTTCAATTTAACGCATTTTCAAGACACAATTTTATTACTGTAACGATTTTTCTCTTTTTTTTCAACCCTGTGTTTTCGGTTCCACCAGAACTATCATGTTTAGACAACGCTTCGATTCTAAAGCATACCTAAACTACCGTACCCCAAAAACGCCGTAGCCTAGACGATGGCCGAAGTCATCGCGAATTGGCTGACATCAACATTCCGGCACTCAAAAAAGCCCAAAAGCGAGCAGCCGCGAAAGGAGCGCGACCGAAGAACGGGCCGAAGGAACTCATTACCGTATGAATATGGTTGTGAGGACAAGATTAGACGTGATACAGAAGACAGTGGGCACGATGAAGAGAGTCTCGACGGAAGTTGTGAAGATATAGAGAGAGCCGAGAGTCTTCGAAGACGAGCATGGGTTGATCGCATATTAAAACGAACGAGCACGAGGTTATCGTCAAAGAGCCGGAGAACAGATGCGGATTCGTTGGAGGACGAGTCGTACCGCCGTGGCAGCGACGATCTCAAATATGACGATATTCTGGAGCTGCAGCGAAAATGGTTCAACCTGACGCACCGCCCGACGGAAGGGTTCGGCTTGTTGAACCGGCGTGCATTGTCGGATTCTGAGCTCGTGATCTCGACGGATGAATGCAGCGAGAAGGACTGTATTCTGGAGAAGTACGGCCTTATCGATACGGAGGAGACCGACCCGGAAATGCCGATTATTAAGCGGTGTCTCTGTGTGCCTGATGGGGTCGAGATTGGAGACTTTGAGTGTCGGCTTGGACCGGAATTCTTCCAAGGACTAGCGAGGTCTATTGACTCGGGGAGCGGGGAGGTGGAGCTGGGGAGCAAGAAGATGTCACAGCCGGTGATGCCGGATAGGAGTATGGTGTCGGAATTGGCGCCGAGGCCGAGTGATCCGACGGGAGGGAGGATGAGGTCGAGGTCTCCGCCAGAGGCTAAAGAAGAGGTTGGTATCAAAAAAATTGTTTTTAGGACTTTAAAGGGAGCGCGAGACCTCAATCTGGCTGTTCTTGCTCAAAGTTACGGCTCAAAGTTCAAAGCTCATGCTCAAAATTCCAAACGTAGTCGAAATTCCGATTTTCCTAGCTTTCTTTCTTCTAAAACCTCCTAAAAGTACGAAACACTACTCTACCCGTCCAGATCCGCGACAGTGGCCAACCCCTGCTCCCGAAGCGCGTCGTCACGCTGGCGATCGGCGGGCTGAAGAAGTCGCTCGGGATCGGGAAGGGCAAGAAGGACAGCAGCCATGAGGATGCAGATGAAGAGGACGATGATACTTTAGTATCGACTACGTCTGGATACGCTAGACACCGGTTGACGCGGAGGGAACGGGAGAGTGCATCTTCTGCTGGCACCGTGTCTTCCATTGGATCGTATCAATCGCGACCAGGTTATTTGGGTTTGCGCTTAGGCTTAGAACTTGGGCACTTTCAAACCCAAAAAAGTGTGACCAGTGATCAAAAAAACCCTGAAAAAACGCGAAAATCCATAGATTTTAGCCTTGCCAATCCCTTTAAAAGCTGACCCTTGCTTTTCCAGGTCTTCCCGATGACCTCGCCTCCTGCATGTCGCCCACCGGCAGCCAGCCGGCCGAGTTCGAGGAGGGTGAGCGCCCCCTGCGATTGCAGCTGTAAGTTTACCCGGCTTAGGCTTAGCTTAGGTTTAGCTTAGATTAGGATTTGCTTGGGCTCGGGTTTGAACTAGATATTTTCTATCGAATCCCCTTCAGCGACCACCCTCTTTGGTCTCGTTTCGGCCTGTTCGACGAGCCGGAGTACAACTCGTGGTCCAAGAAATTCCGCATGTCCAACTTGCCGGCCAAGGAGGTGCTGCGGCAGGACAAGATTTTTGGTGAGTGTTTTATGGAAATTGGGAGCCATTAATTTGAAGCTCATCTGTTGTAATCACCCCGTCAATCCCATTTCCAGAGCTCATCCAAACCGAGCGGGCCCATTGCGCGAATCTTGTCTTCCTGAAGCAGGCCTACCGTACCCGGTTCCTCGAGGATCATCATGTATTGTCGCTAACCACTCAGGATGTACGTTTTTTTTGCAATGTTCGGGTTGGGTGGACCAGCAACGGTCATTGCGGACGTCCTTTAAAAACTCTTGAAGCGTCCAACTTTGCTTGTCCAGATCGACGTGCTGATCCCGGATGTCCTTGACGCGCTCCTGGTGTTCCATATCAACCTTCTGGATAGGCTGACGGAACGGCAGAGGGAGAGCGATCAGGTTCAGACCATCTCCGACATCATCGCCCATGAGGTAAGTGGGAAGGGCTTAGGTTTAGGCTTAGGCTTAGGCTTAGGCCTGGTTTTGGCTTAGGCTTAGTCTTAGGCCTCGGCTTGACTTAGGCTTAGACTTACGCTTTGGACTAGGCTTCAGCTCAGGCTTAGGTTTAGGCTCAGGCTGGGCATAGGCTTGGCTTAGACTTGAGCTTATGCTTAGACTTGGGCTTAGGCTTAGCGTTACGCTGCTTAGGTTTCAGCTGAGGCTTAGGCTTGGTCTTAGGCTTAATCCTTGCCTTTGACTGAAGCTTGGCTTAGGCTTCGGTTATCCTTTCGCTACGTTCAGCAACAATAACATGTTTCCAGCTCTCTGAAGCGGGTGAGCACACCGCAAAAGCTGTCGACGCCTACACAACGTTCGGCATCAACAAGGAGGAGAGCGAGAAATACCTGGAAGAGCTGAAAGAGAGGGCGCTGTTTAGGCGATATCTAGAGGTAAGATCATCTCCTAAAGGAATTAAAGACAAAAAAGCTGTGGATTCTTCTATGAACCTGGTTTTTCAGACGCTAATCCGCTCGGACCCGTGGTACGCCAAGTTCGAGAAGTTCAAGTCGTTGATGACCAGGGTAAGGGTTATTTTTTAAGCAGAATAAATGCAAATTAAGGCAATGGCCCGAACCACGAGATACCACCTGATCCTGCAGGATATTCTGAAGAATGATCTTGATGAATCGAGGAAGGGACTGAATTTGCAGGCTGTAGAGGTGAGAGAGAGAAACAGAGAGGGAGAGGGAGAGAGCGAGAGAGAGCGAGAGAGAGAGACGGAGGGCTATACTCTCCATTTCCAGGCGGCCAAAGGTTTTGCCATGCGAATCGACCACGCCCTGTCCGTCTCGCAGATGACGCGCACCTGGGAGTCCGTCAGAGAGTAGGAATCCCATACCCTCCAATTACTAAGCCATTTTTTAGAAAAATCGACTGGGCAGCCCGCACAAAAATTGCCACTAATGACGCCGCGATGCCGCTCGTCGATTTTTACGTATCCCGAATTTTATAGCGATAAATTCAGATGATTTAGATGACCGACTTGAGCCCCGACAAGTGCAGCGCGGACAACCGGAAAATCTTGGGCATCGGAAATGTGGTGGTGAAGCCGATCGGGTCCGACAAGTTCAACGGGGACACGAGCTGTGGGTTTGGAGCGGACTCTCTCACTCTCTCTGTCTCTCTCGTCTCTCTCTCTCTCTCTCTCTCTCGTCTCTCTCTCTCTCTCTCTCTTCAACTGCTCATTTAAGGTACGCTAATCCTATTCGACGATATCCTCGTCTTTCTTCAACGTCGTCAACAGCGTATCACTTTCTTCCCCCAGGTAGACAAATTTAAACAAGCTTTTTTAATAATAATATAATAATATTCATGGTAATAATACTAATAATAATAATATATATATAAATTCCAGGAGCAGGCCGTCTTTGCCGTGGCTTCGTTATACCCCAGAGTGATCGAAAGAGGATGGAGCACACATTTGATGTCGTCATCTTTTAAGGTATACAGATTTTCATAGTCTTACAAGGGAAGTGCACGACCGGCCCACGAGAAATCGACACGAGACATAGTGGATCTGATAGAATCGGACACGGGGATTCCGAATCTGTAATCAGAATTTGCTAAATAAAACGGAGAAAAAAGTTATGAAGCTTCAAAGTTGGCCAAATCGCCAAAAACCGTACCTTTAAGGGCCCGTAAAAACCGGTGGAACGGAATTGAGGACAAAAGAATTAGTGCAGCTTGTTCAGCAGAAAAAGCGCTTTCGAATGAGCTGTATAATACGTAGCATTTTGCAAACAATTCACTGAAAAAAGTTTTTTTGGATTCACGGGCAAGGGTATGGCCTGTCAAGTTCATAGAAGAGATTTTCGCGAAATCATCGTAAACTTGAAGTAAGATAACTCATTCGAAAGCGCTTTTTCTGCTGAACAAGATGCACTAATGGGTTGTGGCAAATTTCCATTCCCTGGGCCTTTACAGGCCCATAAAAGTCCGATTTTGGGCGATTTTGCCAACCTTGAAGCTTCATAACTTTTTTCTCCGTTTTATTTAGCAAATTCTGATTACAGATTCGGAATCCCCGTGTCCGATTCTATCAGATCCACTATGTCTCGTGTCGATTTCTCGTGGGCCGGTCGTGCACTTCCCTTGTTAGACGGCCAAATGGTCCAGGCTAGCTAGCAGCGATTCTTTGAGGAATTCTTATGATTGGGGCAAGCTTCCAGTTTTTTGGGAGGAATTTGAAAGATTGGGGGTGGCTAGCAGAGATTCTTTCAGAAATTTGAGAGATTTAGGCAAGTTAGCAGCGATTTTTGGAGAAATTCGAGGGATTGGGGCAGGCTAGCACAGATTCTTTGCGAATTTGTTGAGATTTGGGCAGGCTAGCAGCGATTCTTTACGAAAAACACCCCTTTTTTGCAGCCAATGCTCATGGAGCTGCAGTTCCGCAACAAGTCCGAACGCGCCAAATGGATGGACACCTTCGACAAGGGCATCCAAAAGGCCCCAAAAACTGGTAAGCCGTGCAGCTGCCTCCCGGATTGTCCCCTCCGCCCGACCACCTCCGAACCCCCGCGTCACCACGTCAAGCATTTCTGGCAGAGGCTGGCGAAGAAGCACAGCCCGGGCTGCGAGTGTGAAGCGAGCCATTTGAAGAAATACCCAATCACCCAAGATTGTCTGACTGTCGATTTTATGAAATGTCAGCAGCAGGGGGCGGGGCTTCAGCGGCAGAAGTGTATGAGGTTGAAATCGAGAGAATTCGCGCATCCCGATCTGGGTTCGCCGACCCTGGTGAAGACGCCGGAGAAGGAGGGGCCGAGGAATGGGTTCGGGGATATGTTTAGGAGGATGGGGAGGAGGAAGACGAGGGTTGGAGAGGAGGTTAGGCTCGTCGACAGCTTCAGTCTGGATGAGCCGGCCGTGGAGATACATCATTTGTAGTTCTTTTTTGTGCATGTGAAAATTCGAGAACTTTCCCAGGCTATATCTTGGCTTTCGTTTCGTCTATTAAGGCATCGGAGGTTTAAAGCGAGCAAGAAACGAGAGAGAGAGAGAGAGAGAGAGAGAGAGAGAGAGAAAGAAAGAGAGAGAGAGAGAGCGCGAGAGAGGGAGAGAGATAGGGAGAGAGGGAGAGAGGGAGAGAGTGCGAGAAAGGGAGAGCGAGAGAATGATCGAGACAAGGAGCGAGAGAGAGATAGCGAGAACGAGAGAGAGAGAGAGAGAGAGAGAGAGAGAGAGAGAGAGAGTCATAGATGTCTTACGACAGCGCAGATACCTTAATTTTCTACCCCTGCATCAGCCCCTTTGTTACGTAATTTGTTGCATGCCGTTGCCAACGTTTTTCGGGGCTGGAATTACTGTAGGTATCAAAAATTCATTCTGCTATCATTAAAAAATACCTAGTGTAAAATACAGTAATCCCAGTCCCGTTTTTATGCATGATATTGTTCGATCCCAAAATGACCATTGCCACCTCAAGACGGGTCCTAGAAGTCACCAAGGCATACTGTATGAAAATATATATTTCCCTTTGTATGGTATGTCGTAGAAAATTGCATGCGGAACCCTTACTAATTTTGAAAAAGACGAACAAACTAATTACGACATTAAAAAAGCAATAATTTATACAAACTGCTTTAATCATTCGCTTTTTAACTGACTCTACTGGAACTTGGATTTTATTTGTCTCTAACCTTTAAGGAAACTTTTTGAAGCAAACTATACTAAAATCGAAAGTTAAAAGAAACGGTCAAGTTCGGGTGGTCGGGCGGATTTCAATCATTCCAATTAATCAGGTCTTCAACTAATCGCTTAACTGGCTACGTTACAGTTCGGATGCCCCCGCGACGCACCGACGCGCAGACGGCGAAAGAGAGGGAGAAGGAGGAGAAGAGACAGAGAGAAGCAGAGGAGGGATGGGTACGACGGCTCGAGCAGCATTTTGGTAAGTACTATCCTAACCCCGTACACAAAAAAGACGACCGCTTAGACTTCGGCCTAGGTATAGGCTTGGGCGTAGGCTTAGGTGTAGGTTTATGCTCAGGCTAAGGTTTAGGCTTAGGTTCAATCTCATGCTTATGCTTAGGCTTATGCTCAGGCTTAGCTTAGGCATACGCTTAGGCTTGGCTTAGGATTAGATAAACCTTAGGCTTCGGCTTAGGATTCGGGATAGGCTTAGGCTTAATACCTCCAAACGCTCCTACGCACCAAAACCCCACTTTTTAGAAGAGCGCAAAGATGCCGAGGGCGCCATTGCTGAATACCTCGACAAGCGGATGGCTTGGTTCGACCGGCTTCGCTCGATCGTGAATGAGATGCCATTCAAGAATCGGCAGGACATCCCCGATAAAGTAAGCTTTAGGAAAACAAAGTGATGCTCAGGCTAAGCTCTACAAATTCAAGATCAACCTAATTCTTCATTTCAGGTGAAAGCCGCCGTACGCCAACGATTCCGAGAACTTCGCCAAGCTCGTGTCGAGCCAATCAGCAAATGTACTGCTTTTCTACTATTCCAATCATGCTTTTTAGTGGTGGCAAAGTGCACTGCGGCTCGGGACCAAGATCTGCTCGACTTTTTCGACGATGCCGCCGAGGTAAGTTATCATACGTTACTGCATTAAACCCCGCGGCCCTTCAGGTCAATTACGCCCGACTGCAAGCGGAAAATGATGTAAAAATATAGCTTTAAACAGATTCTATCCAATTTCAAAGCTATAGCAAAGTGTGACCACTCTTTCCCCGAATTTCGGCGACTATCCCCTATCTAGCTTATAACCCCGTAATGCCAAAACTTTCCTATACTTTAAGCTATTAACAAAAAAACTATCTTTATGATTTTGATTATTACAAATTTATAGTGCGAATTTTCAGGTTCAAAACGTCGAGGATGACTCGGGATCGGACTCGTCGGGGAGCGAGAGCAAAAATTTGCCCCGCCGGGTGCAGACATTCCATGGGACGAGCAATCCGCGGAAAGAGAGTGGGGTTTTCGGAGGCTTGTTAGGCTTGGGCTTAGGTTTAGTCTTTGACTTGGGCTTAGGTTAGCCTTAAGCTTAGCCTTAAGCTTAGGTTTGGTTTACGCTTAGACTTAGGTTTACACTGAGGCTTACTGTAAAGTGTTTTTACTCAACTTGGAGTTTCGATTCGGGACCAAGCGCATCTTGTGCAGAATTTTTCGCTGATTCCGAATATGTTTTCCAAATTTGCTACGGACTTTTATTTAAAAACTCATTTTTTGGTAACAATTAGGCCGAAAAATGCCAAAAATTCAGACGCTGGCCCACTATTCTTTGTTTGGGGCTATGGTTCCCAGGGGCCCTGAAGTACCCTCTGACAGCACCCTACCCGGTTGGCACCATGGTGCATTGGCAAAGTACTCGCTTGCCAAGCGTAGGGCGGCGGTTCGAACCCCCGCCTTGCATCATTTCTTTTGCTTTTAGCATAAAAATCTCATTTTTTTATCTAAAATGCTTGTTTTGCGCTGTAGGATGCTTGTCGAGCCAACGCCTAGTCAATTTTGAGGTTGAAATTAATGAAGAAAATCGAAAACTATAACGATACCTTCATTTTGGTGAAAACTAGGGTAATAATTGCCGAATAACTTTCAGAATAACGGTCCGTAGCAAATTTGGAAAACATATTCGGAATCAGCGAAAAATTCTGTACAAGATGCACTTGGTCCCGAATCGAAACTCCAAGTTGAGTAAAAACACTTTACAGTTAGGCCTAGGCTTAGGCTGAAAACTAACTTTTGTATTTCACGAATTCCGGCGCTTATTATTACACTTACCCCCATTCCAGAAGGCTCCTTCCGACGTCACACAACCGTCCCGAAGATGTTGAGCCTCCACTCGGCCTCCACCTCATCAGCCGGCATGGAGTTGATGCGCAGCCGGGAGGAGGACATTGAAGAGGTCTCTGATGAGGAGCCCTCGACAGTGTCCACACGGTCGGATGGCCCGTCGAGGGCCCGCGGCGATGAGGTGGCGCAGATGACGCAGAGACTTCCGGTGAGTGGCGTTACCTTCCGTTGATCGATACCTATCGACCTGTAATAAGGTCCTTTTTCCAGCTATCGATGAGTCTACGCGCCCGAAAAGCTGCCACCCAAATCATCAAGGAAAACGCCGACCTGCGCCATATCAACAACACCTTGAGACAGGACTTGGCTTTGTAAGTTGAGCACCAGCCTGGCTCTATTTCAAAAATTCAGGAGCAAAACAGCGCTCTCTTTGTATGAGAAATCGAGGGTAGCGCCGCTGGGGTCAAACGGAAATGGTTGCCCATCGGTGCCGGCTGCAGAAACGCATGAGGTAGCTTGGTTTTGTACGTTGCGAGGCCAATATTTCTAGGCGCTTCGCAAAAAGGAGCAAGAACTGCGGGACGGGGAATCAAAGTTGAATCAGGATCGCGAGGATCTAGAGGCGAAAAAGCAGCAGCTGGAGGTCAGTTCTTCAGCAATAGCTTTTTTCCTCAGATTTTCAGATTTTTAGCAAAAAAAATGTTTTTCAGGACCGTCTTCGTGTCAAGGAGGAAGAATTGAATGAGAAATGGAGAACCCTGCTCGAGCGCGAAACGATACTCCACGCTAATCATATGAACAATGATCGCAATTCAACCCCGCCTGCAATGGTTAGTTTTTGGATTATTTAGGCTTGGCTTACAAGGAGTCGTTTTTAGGTGATATTGGAGTTTTTGAACGAGACCTAGCTAGTTCGATAGAGAAAAAAATTCTGAACAAGATGTCGTTTTCCAAATCTGCTAACCGTGTACGCTGTTCAATAAAAATTAATTTGAAAATCATTAATCTAACCATCATTTTCCGCCTGATCCGCAGATTCGGCGCTCTGGGTGCGCGTCAACATAGCCCCCTTTAACCCTCCCTCCAGCCATGACCAGCTGGCCTATTGGTAGTGCGCTAGCTTCATAAGATTTTGTCTTTTTTTGCCAGCGGGTTCGACTCCTCGCTAGTAAAACTCTTTTGCTTTTTGCTCGATAATGCCAAATTCGGTTTCAATGGCATGAAAAATCAAAAAGCAAAACAATAAAACACAATAAGTTCCGAACCCTGGGCATAATTTTGCAAAAGTTTGATAGGCGCCGGCACTATCCACTAGGCCACGATCTCATGCGGATGCTGGTTCGCGCTGTGGGCTATGTCCCGGGCCTGATCCATGGGTCGCAGCCTGACGTCCAGGATTTTTTTCATTAAAATTAATTTTTATTGGATACAGTACACGGTTAGCAGATTTGGAAACCGACATCTTGTTCAGAATTTTTTTCTCTATCGAACGAGCTAGGTCTCGTTCAAAAACTCCAATATCACCCAAAAACGACTCCTTGTTAGGCTTGGGCTTCAGCTTGGCTTAATCGTGGGCTTAGGCAACCTTTCCTCCAAATCCAACCCTTTTCAGACCCGTCTCATCTCCCCTACATGTGCCGGCCGGAAGGAGCAAGCAGCTGTGTAAGTACCTCCCAAAGTACCGACAAATTAAACCCCGTTTCTTTCTAGCCAGGACTCATACTGAAGCTGCAGTTAGGTAGTGTTGATCGTCAGCCATGTCATTGTCCCCCTAACACAGACTTTCGCTTTTAAATTCAATAAAAACAATTCGGCCTTGTTCCTCATCCACGTCGTCGTGATTGGCATAACTTTTGTGGGCGATTCGCCTAACCAGAAGGAACCCGAGGAAACCCCGGCTCGGAATTGACTGAAAATTTGCACACAGAGAGAATCGATCACGCTGATCATCACCTTCCGAATTTGATAATAATCTTTAAAATTCGATATATTTATCTTTTAGTGTCAATTTCGCCCCCCGCCCCGAAAAGTGTTTTGCAATTATGCCGTTCCTTTTTGTTCTGAAGTTCTAGTTTATTTTAAGCAGCCTATCTGATAGCGAATTTTTTTCTAATTCGAATGGTACATTTCTTTAAAGCAGGCTTCGTACTAGACGGCATCTTACAGCTGTTTGAAGCAGGCTGTTTTTCACCAGTTCCCATACAAAAATCGGGGTCCAGATAGTTTTTCGTTAACGCCAATTTTTCCAGTTTTCGAAAATTTTGAGTTAGAGTTATTCAAAAAAGAAATTTTCTCAAAACAAGCGGCGGGAAGATCAAAATAGCCGAGCTCAAATTTGACGATTTTAACTAAAGGATCGCCTTAAAGGGGCTCAGAAGTCAAAATTCGTGCGTGCGGAGATTGAATCTACTGGTCAAAAAACGCAAGGGTCACTGCCGATAAGTGCCAGAAAAGTGATTTCATTGCGAAAAAAAGTAAAATATTTGAGAAAATCCGAATTCTTTTTGGGGCGAAAACGACATTTTGAGTGCGCGGCGATTACCTGTCGTAATGCGTTGTAAGGCACCCAATCTCTCGATCTCGGTGATTCTCTGGCCAATTTTCATAAATTAAAAGTCTAGAATGATCAAAATTTGATGAAGATTCCAAAAATAGCATCAGAATTTTTAAATTCTAGCGTTTTCGCGTCCAAGCAGGGGCAAAAGACCATGCGGCGCGGTCGCGTTGCGGTCGCATCTGGCTATTTGCCAGAAATCACAGCAGGGGGCCGGGGACCACCGGGGCCCTTTAAAGGGGAATATCTCGCTTTAGATCGCAATCTGTGCAAATTTTCAGCCAGTTCCTAGTCCGGGCTTGTTCGGGCTCCTCTAGTAAGTAAATACTCCACTAAAAAATTACATACACTTTTTCAGCCCGCCGATCTCACCCGCATTGAAGGTACTGGCCGTCGAGACGAAGAACAAGAAGAAGAAATGATTACAAAAATATTATTACCTAAAAATTGTTATCTATTGAATTCCGGTGTCTAAAGTGCTTTTCCTTTCCCCGTATCTAGTGGACCAACCGACCCCATATTGTGGCTGTATAAAGCTGATTATGCCTAGTAAATATTGTGTATGAGAGATTCCCCACTTCCGCCCAAATGACTGACTTTCCTGCGATTCACACATTCCTATTTCCCCCCTCCCATTTCCTTCGCTTTAGCCATTGCCCCCTCTATATTGCTCACCAACCCCCCAAAATTCGAGATTCCAAAATCGCGTCCTTCCCGCAAATTGAAGCCATTTCACTCTCTGGGTATATCCTATTTTTCCCATCTTTCCACTCCCCTTGATATTGTTATTCCCGACCGTGTTCGATCATCCTGTGCTCCCCCCACTGTCCAATTCCATAAATCTAGAAGCTTTTGCAATGTTGCGAGCACCGAATAACACAGAATAGCGCAGAACTAAGACTTTTGGATTTACATGCAAGACTACGTCGTAAAGCGTTTTGGACAAATTTTTAGAAAGTGAGAGGTAGGAGAGAGACAGCGAGAGAATGTCGTATTGTCGTCACCCTTCGTTGCATCGTAGCGATTTCAAAGATCGATTTGGCTGCATTTTCGCAGAACTAGCTGTTCGCACTAATATTTGCCGAATCTACATGCAAAACTACGTCGGAATACCAAATACCCAGGGAGGGATACAAAATACAATTCCTCATCTGAAAGCGGGGGGCGAGAAGGGGGGCCAGAGGGGGCGGGCCCCCGGCCGACCCGCCTCCACCCGGCACAAGGAAGGAGCAATCAAAAACAGAATCGACCACAAACTTCGATCGACGCAAAGAAAAAGAAAGGGGGAAAATATACAGGGGGGTCAAAAAAAAAGCCAACTTTGCGCCAATTATCTCGCGAACGGAGAGAATCGAAGGTACGTACCATGCCAGAATGCAAATATGCTGGGTATAAGATAACACAACTTGATTTTTCGATTTTGAGACGAAACTGTACTATTGACGCTGGTTACGACCGAAAATTGTGCGTTCTTGACGGGGGGGGAAAATTCTGATTTTGGCCCAAAAATCGTTGACATTTGTAGAAAAATAATGGCCAAATATTAGAATTTTTAAGCTCCAGTTCTTTTTACAAGAAACCAAATTTCGCTATTCGGCAGCTTTTTGCCTTTTATTCGCAACTCCTTCATGTCCGCTGCCCATGGCTGATTTTTGCAGATGGTGTCTTCGGATGATAATCTTTAGCACAACACCAAATTTTACGTGATTCTATGGTATAATATTGCTTGCAAAACGTGCCCCAGAGGGATACTGTAGTTTCGTTTCGCGTTTTTTATTGAAGCTGCGATTTCGCTTAAAATTTTATCATTGGTAAACACCAGTAAGGGTCACCTATGGGAAATATCGGAAGTTCTAGCCATATACCTTCCTAAAATATGCAAAAACTTATTTTGAATTTAGCCACGGAAATTTCTAAATTTTGAGCATCGGACAAAAACTACTATTATTTGTTCCTGAAAGATCGAAACGTTTCTATGGTGAAAGAGCGAGAAAACGGCGATTTCTGTTCTACAACCCGCCTGGAGCGCGTTTTAGATGCCAAGACAAATCCCAAAAGTGCCGACTTTTCAACTTTAGAATGTTCTCTGGGTGATTATGAGAGCAGAAAAAATACTTATTCCTGGGAAATGACAAAGAGGAAAGGGAAACCCTCCTGGCCGATTTTGACCGAGCGGGAAAATCGAATTTTGAAATGAAAAAGTCATCGGGTTTCGGGAATAATTAAAGCACGATCGAACTGTGATGAGAGCAGAATTTGGAATGATCTGGCGAAGTTAATGGTTAATTTTGATAAAACCCGAAAATAACGTTTTTGAAAAGCCGACTTTGGGGTGCTCTTCTAAATTCGTTTGCCATGAAAAGGTTTTGTATTTGCATGGTTTAGTGACTATCAAGCTTGATCATGCAGAAAAGTCGGGGTACTAGAGCTTCGAGAAACCTCGCCTCGAATTCGGGATATTTGGGCTCTTCGTGAATTTCTTGAGAGATTGGATGGCCGAATAAATTTGTAAATATAATCATAGAATGCGCCCATTAAGAGTATTAAATAAAATTATGACAATAATTTTAGCCGCGCAAATGAATTTTATAGATTGGCAACAAGATCTGGAAATAGCAGACCAACCGTTTTGGAGGCGCTAAAAAGCAACCTTCCAAAGGGGTACGGTAGCTAGAAATTGGTAATGATAGATGGACCAGGACACAACAAAGCAGAGAAAACACCGAAATTTATCTACAATTTTAGAAATATTTTCCAAAGTTCAGTTTCGTGACCTCGAAAGATCCATGACCAGGGGGTCGTCGAAAAACTAAAAATCCGGGATCTGAAAAAATTTTTGATATTTTTGCGGGATTGTATCTAGATATAGAATGCAAAACAGCTTATTTAGAGGTTCCACCATAGGTTTGTAATATTCGAAATTTACGAAATTTCTCCATATAAATTTGAGATGCTATAACTTGCCAACCAGACCTTGGAAAATTCCAAAATTCCGGATGTGGTAGGGGCAGTCCTTAGGTACCTACACTGTAAAAATTGGAACGTTCGACCACCAGCAATCCAAAAATGAAACAAAGTTTTGCCGGAACACAGTTTTCGGGTGTCATTTGTATTGATACGTCGCCAAAAATCGAAAAAATCAAGTTGTGTTAAATCTATACCCAGAATTAAGATTCTGGATGGTAACGTACCTTCGATACTCTACCTTCGAGATAATATGGCGCAAGTTGGTTTTTTGACCCACCCTGAGGGGAGTCAGGAGGCCAATTGCATCCCCTCGCCCCGAACCGACGCCTGACCGCGATAAATCCTGCCGTAGGTTTGTAAAACATACCCTACTGAGAAATTGGACCAATACAGCTCTTCCCCGGAAGTAAAAATCCACGGAAAGTCAATCTTCAGACTTACATAAATCCGGAGCGAAGAGGTCGACTTGCGCCCAGGCTCGCCTAGGGTGCAAATTGAAGCCTGAGGGCAGGTGCCGAGCCTAGGCCCTCAAGGGCCATCGTCATCTCAAAAGGCACGCCCAAGGCCCGAGCGGGCGCTGGTACTTCAGAATAATTTCACTAAAGCGGAATTTAAGCGAGAGAGAGACAGAGAGAGAAAGATATTCCCGTATCATCTCAACCTCTCGTTTCATCATCGGGACTTCAACAGCGGTTCTGAGGCCCCATTCCCAAGAGTCAGTGTTCTCCCTGAATTTTCAGAACCTGCATGCAAAACTATCTCGCAATTTGCTTCAGAATGAGTATTATAGAGCTAGAGAGAACAGAGACAGCGAGAGAAAAATGTTGCCGCATCGTGGACCGGCCTTGCAGGATTCGATTGCTCTGATGGTTGTTTTGGGGGTTTTTTGCCCAGAGCAAGCTGTTCTCACTAAGCTTTGGAATCCACATAAAAAACTACGTTGGAATATGCTTCGGAATGAATTTCAAAACGTGAGGGAGAAGAGAAAGAGACAGCGAGAAAGTTGTTGCCGCGCCTTGCCCCGCCCTGTGCGCGGCGGGGCGGTTTTCGGCGATTTCCCAGAGCCAGCGGTTCTCACTAAGATTTTCGGAATCTAGCTGCAAAACTACGTCGAAATATGAATAATAAAAAAAAAAATTTGAATAAAGAAAAAAGAGAAAACAGCGACAACTGTTACCGAATTGTGAGATCTCTTTTCATAATGTAACCAAAATCCTTTCAAACCAAAAAAAACTATATTACACGTATCGTATAATGTGCGGATTGCAGATGCTGACAGGTTATATTGACTAGAATGCTCGGTGAATCGGTGCATTTCTTGGATGGCCTCCTCGGGGAATTCGAGTTCCCAGATGCGCTTCAGGTGCTTGCCCTTGACGTCGCGGGATGCGCCGAATGCCGTCATGCCCTGGAAATGATCGGTTAATGAAGCTGTTGGCGAATTTTGGCAATGGAAAAGGCGTCGGCTAAATAAGGCTGAAAAGCAAAAATCAAGTTCCAAAAGAATATCGATCGAATAAATAATTAAATTACTTTGATGCTTTGAAGGTGCCGCTTCGTCTTTTCCGTGGTTGCGACCTTGGCTTTCTCGTAGTGCTTGTTGTCCCGCTCCCATTTCTCAGTGCCAAAGCTCGCTTCCGCCGACTTCCGGAAAATCCTAGTTGTTTCCGAACAGACAGCAAACAGCAAAAACTAAAGAAAATTAAAAAGAAATTAAATCCAGGATCAGAAATCGCGATTTTTCGCGAATCGCTTTTTTGGTCTCGGGGACATTTACATCTAATGACAGACCGACAGTCAGACAAGATATAGTTATTGCAAATAAATACAGGAGTTTCTACTATTCTTAAACGTTCAAAATTACAACTTTCGATCTTAAAAAATACAAAAAAAAGATCAATTTTCGACTAAATTTGACTAAAAATCTATAGTTTTTTTATGGTTTTTTGCACTGAATACACACCAAAAACATTGATAACACAATTGTTATTACGTAACTAGGCCTTTCTGGACTACTTTACTTTATCTTCCCTCAGCCGATGGTCCCAAAATTTTTTTCGCTATAACTTTTTTATCTTACATTTATTTGGGGTTTAATTAAAACTTTACGTAAATTCTTTGGTGCGCTATCGTATGGCTTAGCGAAAACCCCGAAAAATGGCTGGAATTGCCGAAAACCCGGGTGAAAGTAAAGACTAGCCGAAAAGAGGTTGCGCCCCTCCCCCCGTTAGTGCCAAAGAACCAAAAAACTTTGTTATAATGAAAAGTTCAAAAGCTTACCTGTTGTTTGTATGCCTCCCAATCTAGTCTGCGTTTCTCGTCCTAAGGAAAGGTTTTAGTAATAAGTGTAAGAATGCAATTTACCTCGCGGTTGGGGTCCATCTTGCTCCCATTTCTGGGTGCCAGGCCACCCCTCGGGCACCCGATCAGTCATCAGTAAGCTAAATTAAAG